CACCCATGCTGTGCCCCTGGGTACAGCCCATCCTGATGGGGACAGCCCATCCTGGTGGGCCCAGAAGCTGTGGGGACCCCAAACACCCACCCACCCACACTGTGCCTCTGGGTACAGCCCATCCTGGTGAGTACAGCCCATCCTGGTGGGCTCAGCAGTTGTGGGGACCCCCAGCCACGTTGTGCCCCTGGGTGCTGCCACTGAGTGCTGGCTCTGCCATGGGACATTTCACTCTGGTGTCCCCTTGGGGCCAGGCTGGACCTGCTCCTCCTCTTGTGCAAACAGGCAGATAAGGGCACTGCCAGCACTGCCCTGCAAATGCCATCGCATCCCACGTGGCCATCCCGCCCAGCCCCGAGGGTGTCCAGTGGGTGCTGCAAGGGCTGGGCTGGCATGTGTCCACACTGCTCTGCTCCTCCCTCTATGCCACGGCTCAGGAGGCTCTTCCTGACCCTGAGTTTCTGGGATCTGATATTGGCTAAATCCCAGTTTTCTGTGTGTGATGGAAACCACCTGGGAATGGAGCCCTGTTGAGGTCAGGAGCCCAGGCAGGTGCTGCTGCCCTTTCTGGGCCCTGCCATGTCCTTGCTGACCAGCTGTCTCCTCCATGCTTTAGTGTCAGGATATGGCATCAATGCCACCACCAAAGTGTCTCTAAACAGCTCAGGGATAGTTGTGTCATCATCTCCATCCAGCTCAGCCCCAGCCACCAGTGTGGGGTTGCCCAGTAAGGCTCCATCCAGCCCAGTCACCATGGCACCTCTGCCAGCTTCTTCTGGCATGGCCATGGTGTCAGCTCCAACCAGGAAATCAGACTTGGTGGTATCTCTGACACCTTCATCTGGCAGAGCTGTCACATCTATTCCAGGATCATCAACATCTCCCTCCAATGCAGCCACAGCACCTGTGACACCTCCATCCAACACCACCACCACATCATCTTCATCCAAGACACTGGGATCAACACCATCTTCATCCAAGACACCAGGATCAACAGCATCTCCATCCAACACACCGGGATCAACACCATCTTCATCCAACACCACCACAACACAGTCTTCATCCAAGACACCAGGATCAACAGCATCTCCATCCAACACCACCACGACACAGTCTTCATCCAAGACACCAGGATCAACAGCATCTCCAGCATCTCCATCCAACACCACCACGACACCAACTCCACCCAAGACACTGGGGTCAACAGCATCAACAGCATCTCCATCCAACACCACCACGACACCAACTCCACCCAAGACACTGGGGTCAACAGCATCAACAGCATCTCCATCCAACACCACCACGACACCAACTCCACCCAAGACACTGGGATCAACAGCATCTCTATCAACAGCATCTCCATCCAACACCACCATGGCACCATCCCCATCCCACCCATCTGTGCCCAGATCCACAGAGCATCCATCCAACTCAACAGCAGCACCAGCCCCATCCTCACCTAGACCTTCTGGACCTGTTCCCAACTCCTCCACACTCACTGTGAGCCCTGGTCCCAACAGTACCTTGGCCACCAGCTTGAGAATGACACTGGCCATCAACAGCTTGGGTGAGAGCCAGCCTGGGGGGCACTGTGTGGGCAGGTGACCTGGGTATGGGCACAGCAGCAGCTCTGGGTCCCCTCCTAGACCTCCCACCTGGGGCTGTGCTCACAGGAGGACCTAGGGGTGCAGGTCCCCAGTGATCCCAGAACCTCCAGGCTGCTCCAGCCTCTTTGTGGGGTGTTGAGGTCTCCCCATTCTCCCCCATTCTCTGTGTCATGAGACTTGGCCATGGGGTGGGAAGGCCCTGGGCTGGTCCCTCGTGGGTGGAGGTGGCACAGGAGCTGGGTGCAAGGTCTGTGAGGGTTGAGACAGCAGCAGGGAAGATCTGGAGATGCTCTTGAGCCCTTCTCAAGACCCTCTGTGGTGCTTGGAGGCTCAGCAGTGCTGTGGGTGGTAACCCATCTCCCCCCTACAGATCAATCCTCCACCCAGCTGAGCTCTGGGGTGGTCATCATCATCTGCCTCTTCGTCTGTGTGCTGCTGGGAGCAGCAGCAGTGCTGCTGGTGAGGCTGTGCCGGCGTGGGACCCCCCGATTCCACCACCTGGACGAGGTGCCCATGGTACGTGGGGGGCACTGAGGGTGGCAGGAGGGCAAACAGGGGCACAGCAGGGTTGGCTGCTCACCCTTCTCTCTCTTTTCCCTAGAGCAAAGTGTTGGATGAGTCCTCCATCCCCCACCCCACGCCCAGGTGACCCCCCCGGGGACTCCCCACGCTGCTGAATAAAGATGCTGCTGCCTCTGCTCTGGTTTCTACTCACCCTGCCCGGGGAAAAACCCATGTCCCGGGGGAAGCCCCAATC